GCGTCGGAGAACCTGTAGTCGGGCTCGAGTCAGCTCTCATTCAGAAATTCTAGATGCAGGGCCACCAAGTTGCATACTTGCTCGGTTTGTCTCTCAGACCACCCCGCTTAGACTGATCTTGACAGCAACAAAGGATGTAGCGGATCAAGCCGTCACGGCTGAAAAGGCTACCCTTGGCCGCAGGGAGCGCGTGGCCGCCTGAATTGGCCTCTTCCCCTCCAGGGACGGACCCGGGTCCCTTGAGTGCAGCCTCGATGAGGGGCCAGCATCCTCCGACCCAGTGACTGTAGCAACCGTCAACTAGCTTATTGGTACGACCTGAGAAACCACCCTCTGGGGCGTACTGTCTCGAAGACAGCCAAGAGATAAGCAGTGGAACATTGAGATGCCTACAGAACAGAAACATCAAGACAAGGTTAGCATGCGATGCACCGCTTCCATGTCACAACATGAGTGGTTAGACAAAGGGAGAAGCATACCTCGGGATGGAACGATGTGGAGAATCAAGAATCGAGAGGCATCCGAGAGCGCAAAAGGCATATGCACCATGTGCTTCGATGCCCGGCTTTGCCGACACGCCTCCCTCGTGCGTTTGGCCTTTACGGTGAATGATCAGACGGAGTCGTTGCTTTGGGATTTCGTGCGTCACTTACATTGGTGTACATAGTCTGCAAGCCCAGTGAATAGGCCAGTGTGGCCAGCGGATCGTGCAGGAGAGTCCTGTGATAGCTCAAGAGGTAGATTGAGTAACGATATGATGACGGCCGCGCAGTAAGCCCCCCTGCAACTTTGTTAGAAGGAAGTGATCGTACATGTGTCCTTGGGGTTCACGGCATGAGACCGATGGGGAACTGCGGGCCTTGATCGCCGCGCTGCAGAGAAGAGTATCGGAGGTGTAGTGGTACAGCATGCACATACCTGACGTCCTCTTCGCCGCCGAGTGCCATCTGGAACCCTCCATCGGGCTGCTTGAGTGAGCATAGCCATCTCCACATCGCTCGACGGTCGATGACCTCGTAGGCGTCTTCACCGCCGACAAGGGCCAGCGACAGAACGGTTGCATAGGAGGTGGCGAGATGCGAGGTATGTCCGAATCCGCCAGCGAAGCCTCCATCTTGATTCTGCATAGGTCGGACGGTATCGACAAGTCTCTGGCGGTACTCCGTGACATCCTCTCCCAGGAGAACAAGAGCAGACAGACACCAGTAGAAGAACCAGGGCCGACTGGGGTCAGCGGGTGTAAAAGCGGCGGGCAGCTTTCCCAGCTGCTTATGCAGAAACTTTACATGGAGGCGACGGTCCAGATGGGGCACGCCGTGGGAGTTGCAGTAGTCGAATTCTTCGCCTTGAAGAAAAGGTAGGACTTCCTCTATCGTTGCATCCTGGACACGCGATGACTCTGTGGGTAGGCTATCGCGGATGAGAGGTTCAGTAGTGAAGAGAGGCGGTATGGAGAGTTCAACTTCGGGCTGTGGCGCTGTTGCAGCTGAAGCCATTCTTGTGTTTGATCTGATATTGCTGGTGACAGTGTTGTTGCTGTTGTTGCTGCGTGGAAATAAAACGCGAGGTCGAGGGCGTGTGAGACGAGAACGGGCTCTCATAACTCACTCAGTTGATGAACCAATACTTATATTATGTCCCGTTGCCTTATTTGCGTTGCTTTAACAATGACAAGTCCGGCTGATATTGTTCTCCAAGCCATGGTATCTCGCAATCCCATCTTACCCCCACATATTGGATTCAAGTGGACGATTTCGTTCCTGTGCCCAATAAGAATATGCGTTTGGCGGGGCATTCTCTTTGTTGGTTACTTTAGTCCCAACGACAGATCATGCCATGAGGTCGATTCCCTCGAATTTGTGTTGGTTTCAACATTGGAAACCCTATTATCTTGAGCTTGGATCTGATAATGGTCGACGCTGAACCGATTAGACTGTGGTGCTGCGGGAAATACGTGACTTGTCTGACTTGAAGAAACGTCAATGTTGTAGGTAGGTATTTGAAAAGACACAAACCGTAGGAGCTTGAAGCCACTACAGCTCTGAATACTTTCTAACATTAAACTAAAAAATACCAACAAGAAAGGTACTAAGTATAAGAAACTAAGAACAAGTTGAAAACAATTGCCTGAGGAATGGTCTTACTGTATCGCTTGGCCACTGAAGTTATGCATATTTACATACCCTACAGTCTTTTGCTTCCAGATGGGCTGGAGGTGAAGAATTGGGAGGTTGGTTTCCAATCTAACAAGAGCAATCTCATGAGAGTGTTATAGGGTCAAATCTCATTATGTGACTATATTCCATAATGCTGAAGGTATACTTGAATAGACTATTCGTAGGTTTCAGTGGGAAGTTGTAGGGAGTCTTTAATGTTCTTTTTTTGTCACTTAGACATAAGGTAGAAGACGAATTTCTCTCATGACATGGGTAGATACCCTCAGAAAAACTAGTCCAGGAAAATCATAGCATTATGAAAGTTATTAGATGTATTCATATCTTTTATTGGGTACGAAGTTGAATTCAGAATTACTACCTCCACTTTGCGTGTGGACAAAGAGGCATTCAATGAACTACAGTGTTTCTCAACTTATCAGTCTCACTTATATCGATTCGTAGACATATATCCAAGCCTTTCTAATACTTCTTGTCTTGGCATAGTTGCAAGTAGCTTGGTCGTGTTCAGTCGTCTTTGAGAATCCTGGCCCGTTATGGTTTCTGAGATTCACTTAAGAACCACAGACTCATTATCAAGCCCAGGTTTTCCCAAATTTAACCAGCAGCTGGAGCAATTGACTTTAGAAACACCGGTATCTAATGACGAATACCGTGAATGATATGTAGTATCTGCGAGTGAATCCATGGCAGAATCATCCACATACCGCTGGGAACCTTTTAAATGCGCAAGTGATCATGCAGGGTATCCTTCCAGAGGGAATAGAAAGAGGACCTATTATGGATTCACATCAATACTACAACTGTGATAGTTGATAACATCGACGCCAAACCTGTCTGTAGGACCCTCTAATTCTTGGTGTTTTGTAAGTCAGTGAGAGACCTCGGGTATAAGCCGAGGTGACCAGATATAACATGAGATACACAAACTCAAAACGCCCCTGACACGTATTTGAACGTGCTATAGCCAGCAGAAACAGCAGTTTCTAGCCAAAACATCGAGAGCTTGTCATCGGCCACCGTCAAACCATTGTACGCCACATGTGTCGGTCCGAAACAGCCAGAAAATTCTTGTTAGCAGGTTTTCTAGAAGCAATTTTTGCGTCGAGCATGGCTCTCTAGCCGTCAAGTACCGACGCTAGGATATTGTAACTTGCACGTCAAGGCGGAGGTAAGTTTCCGATTAACCTGGCCTTGTAAGCCTCAGAGAAGAAATAACACATTCAACATAAAAAAAGTGATGCGCTAGTTGACTAGTCGTGCAAGAGTTGTTCGGTTTCAAACGGCTCAGTTTCACACTACTGTTGCTATTGCAGCAGGACGTGATCATTTGCACATTTACGAGAAGTTGACTGGATTGACTGTCCCAACAAAGGTGAGACAAAAGACGGGACGACGCAGATCCCAAAATATTGAGAGACATACGAAAAAGAAAGTCCGACGCTACTCGCGGAAGTTGAATGAGTCGAGCGAGCAATGCCCTTCGAAAATCCGAGTTCTCGACCGACGTTTGGTCCGAACCGAGCCAACCCCCAACTTATGGTCTTTGGTTGGTGGGGGCGCTAATGAAGATCGATCAATTAATCGAGGGAGATATGATTGACCATTTAATGTTGTGATTGAATTGTCTAATTGATATGTTTGTGGTTGTGAGTCGGCATAGAAAAGACGTGGAATTGCGAGAGCCAAAGCTGTGTCGAGGACCAGGTATAAGTGTTTGCAGAATAATGGTATGGTGACTTGTCCAATCTGTTTAATAACCGGATAGCAAATAACAAGCTTGGGACAGTCTCACGTTCGAGCCCGGTTGATAGCCTTACCTCGTTTAGTAATTCTATATGGTAAACATATATCAGAATATAGCTGCGTTGTACAGGTCTGCAGGACCAACTGTATAAGCCGGCGGGTTTGCCGACATTTAAGGTCATGTCACTCTAGCATAACAAAGGGCCGATCCGAGGAAGTACATATACCGCGGAATCTATTATCATACGTAGTAATAAGAAACCGATCGAACTTATTCGATACACAGATAACGCTCTCCAAAACTCTGGAATTCCGCGGGAACAAAACACCACGAGATATTCTGGTGTAGTGGCATGGCATCTTGCTCCAACATGCACCCATGCAAGCTTAGCCTGGACATTTCCCGGTGGGGACATACCGGAACTCAAAGACCGGCTTGTCAAACCGGTCCGGGGCATATGCACGATATCATCCATGGTACGTAGCCGAGACAAGGACCTTGGAGCAAACAACTCACGGTGTCTGATCATAGAAGCATCAAAGAGATGTGTGAGTATGAGAGATAGAAAAGAAAAAGGACCAGTATAGGATATAGCGCTAGCTGCATCCAACAGTTTGGTACGGATAGTGAGGTTGGAAACTCGGATTTATACTCCATCAGAGCTCAGAGCCTCACTTATTTTAGTGCCCCCAACACCACATCGGACCCCGCGCTTAATTGATGCTCATGCAGGGAAAACCCACCAGCTGTGCGTATCCGTCCAGTCCAAGCAATATCCATAGACTACAAGTTTGCTTTTTCTGTGTTAAATCCTGGAATCTAAGCGGTTCACTCTGCTGAGTCAGTCTCTACGCAGCCTGTAACCTCGGCCTTTCTCGAGAGGTCCAAGAGCACTCACTCGTGCAACTATTTTACCGCTCTTCTCTTCTTCTTCTAACCTATAAGTCTAGTGTCGTCCATTCGTCTACTAAGTTAGTGTCCTTCTATAATTTTTTGTTCTTCTCTGCGTCATTGTGCGGAAAGATTTCAAGCCTTGTTGTATAACTTAACTACACTCTCACATATTGTTTAAACACGCCATGGCTACACACTGCAACGTCCTCCAACAGTTCACCCGTAACGAGGAATCAGAGTTCAAGGGCATGATTCATTATGTACCCAACCAGAATCGGTTGCTCCCATCCACTACATCCATCTCCAACCAGCCACGACTCCAGGCTTCTTCTCTAGGCCAATTGGATTGTCTCCCCGCAGAGCTTCTATTGTCTGTGCTTGAACTCCTCGACTTCCAATCTCTGTCCCGCCTGTCGCGGGTTTCTCTTCTAGGAAAGGATGTGATTGAGGACCTGCAGGTGTACTGGGAGACGGTCCAACATGCTCCCGAGGCTCTGGCTGTCTTGGGACAGACTCATCTTTTGAGCTACCATCCTGCTACCCTGCTTCACTCTGCCCTCCGGCAGAGCAGATGTGTCTCGTGTCTAGCTTTTGGGGGGTTTCTCTTCCTGCCAACCTGTGAAAGGGTTTGTTTTGAGTGTCTCTACGAGAACCAAGCTCTCCGGATGACGTCTCCGGCCATGGCGAAGGAGTGTTTTAGTCTCACTGACCATGATCTCCAACGCATTCCTGTTATGCACAGTGTTCCTGGCACTTTTGGTCTAAGGTTCCAATTCGTGCATAAGCAGGCTGAACGCCTTGTCAGCGTCAAGCAAGCAAAGGAACTTGCCCTAGAGATACATGGCTCGGCGGAGAAGCTGGCCAGACTGAGGCCAACATATCGTCCCGGGAGAACGTCCATGAAAGATGCTGCGATATTCAGGCACTTCCATGAGGCCCCTTTAGATCCTCCAGGCTGTGATCTCTCAAGACTACCGAGAAAGGCTGAGGTTGTAGAGGATGACTTTGGCGGAATGGCTTCCATCCGTTTCCCATCCCTCTCAGATGCTGGCACTGACAAAGGTATCCTTTGCCAGGGATGCCTTGTCACTTATAGCCACTACATGCAAGGAGTACTTCCTCAAAGTACACTTTCCGAGCTTGTGCCCGTGGATGTAGGGCCTTATCGACCTCTCCTTGCGCTGTTGACTCGTCTATGGTCCACAGAAGGATTCGCTGAACATGCACATCAATGCTATGGCGTGCGCCGAATCTTGGGACAGTAAGAGTCCTATACAAGGACAAAGCTAGAACAACCTTACAAAGACCTCAGCTGAGGTTTGTTGTCTCTTCTGAGATTTATCAACGCATTTCTTGATCTGTCCTGGCTGATGATTGCAGGATCCTCAAAGCCTTGTAGGGCTAGTATTTCTCACTCTTCTAACATCTCCTTCAACATGTCTCTCGTATGCTCATGTCAATCAGTCGCTGGTCCTGAACGCTGATGGTTCTCAAAAGTTTACTGCTATTCATAATCAGCCAGCAGGTTTGTTGTTTCTATCCGGTTGCGTTTATATACCCCATAGTTGATTTTAATGATAAATGAGTCAATTCATGCTTTCGGATGTGTAATCATGAATAAGTCATCAGTAAGTATAGACCTGATCTTGGTAGTAGGCGATCTTGTTATTGTATGACTTCAAGATAGATACTGTTATAATGTAAAAGAGAGTTGATACATCCAGGACTTCTATGTTTCTGTTCCCCTTTTCCAAGAAGATATAAATCGAGAGAAACGAGACCGATAAGTTTAGAGACATGTCATATGATAACCGAATATGTCCTTGCGTATCATCTAGCTTGAATCTGCCATACCAAAAGATCTGGTGAAGTAACATGATTTAGGTATGTGATGATCTGTTGCAACCTGGAGTCTGCACGCAAGTCTCTCTGTTAACCGACAGAGCGAGTAATTACACCATTCAATGACTGTGCTCTTTCAAGATACCAGTTTGCATGTCTCCACAATCTATTCCCTCCGATACTCGATGATAGTGGCTGGCACAGTGTAGTACGATGTGAAAGTATATTAGCAATGTCATAAATCTAATATGTTCTCTGTTTTCGAAGTATATGCTACCATACAGACTGCCATACTATGTGGTTCTGGGCAATGTTTGATTGTGAAGAAACGTGTGTAGAAACTATACGTTCTGTGACTGGAACTTCTCTTAGAACACTTAGTAGCAAACAATACAGTGTCACGGCTCGAGTACGTTTTGAGTGACATATTACAAACACAGTGAAACTTGGCAACAAAACCACTTGCCTCAGTCGAGGTATTGTGTAAATTAGATGAAACAATGATATAAACCTGAAGTCAATGGGCCCTGCTTCGGCCGCAATGAGCCTAGGAGTGTAATACACCTCAGCGTGATGCCATCAGCGTGATTCCTAATAATTACATAGGTGCGCCTCATACCATGAGAGTCAAGCCACTCAGAGGCATGTAGTTGAGTACGTTCTCCGGGGGAATGAAACAACTTCATAGCAAGCCAAATATGAGTCACAGCCTTTCGACGACTTCGGAGTCTCGAGCAAACTGATTCACCAAACACAAAGTGGTTGGAAGGTTCCAGACTAGGATGCATGTAACAACACATACATGCATATGTCCCCAAAGAACCATTATTAGCTACATAATCTGGCTCTATATCATATATGCACGCGTGGGGCTCAGCCTATCATGCTAGGTGAACAGCTGCAGAGCTGCCCAAATGTAATGAATACAGGAGCCAAAGAGCCTTGGGTTTACCTGCAGAGTATCATCCAACTTGATGAGTGAAAGCCGATACTATGCAAATTGTAACACCATGATGAAGATGTTGATAGTGTAGTGAGGAGATATACTATCTTGTGGTGGAGTAGTTATGAGTTGTCAATCAACAGTTGAGGTGACCAACGGCCACACTTGCACGACAACTGGTGATCTTGAGTGTAACTACAGAATCTGATGACATAGTATTGATCGAGTAGTACGAGTGAGACTACTCAGTGTTTCTCGTACAGCGGCTAGAGATCAAGGACAAACTTGACGTTCTGCATGCAAGAAACCACCGCCATGATGTGAGATACTTGGCACAAATCTCGGTTGTTAGCCTCAGGAATGAAGGATGGCTATAGTTTATCTTTTTGGTTTCATTTCTCAGAGCTGCGTGACCAGTTGATGGCCACTAATAAAGACCGCACCGGATTGATCCTTAGCCGGTGCAGGTGAACACAAACTCAGCCCCTCGTAACTTAGTAACTATACGACAGATCGACGTGGCCACGACATTTTGATAGTGCGCACGTACGCACGATGGTCTATGGGCCACGAAAGATGAGACCAGATGTTACAGAGGAGGGATTAATTAGGAATTCCGCGTTCCTTGCGTCCCCACGGCCCATGGCGGGGGGTGATCGGCTCGGAGATGTTGTGGAGGTGAAGCGGAGTGTCGGGGGCCGATCTCCATATTCTCGGCCAGCCAGATCAAAGGTAAAGAGAGAGAGAGAGACAACACGATAAGCGGCAGTATTGATTAAAGCCTCCTTAATTAGATCCGGATCCAGGAATGGAGTCGTTTGTTCCTCAGTGTTTGGTCAAAATCTTCACCGCCGAAGATTGTTCCCTGCTCTGATGAGCGTCAAAATCTACCCCTGCGTCAAAAATGGTCTGATGGCAACAGAGTTACCAATAGCCGGCGCATCGAATCCATCGACTGTGGAACTCCCGGAAGATACGATGCGGCTACTACGGACAACTACCAACTATGGCTACATCTGTTAATCCATAGCCTTGGCCAGACCAATCGTGAACAGCATGCCATTTGCCTTGATAACCTGTTCGGCCCTGCAGAGTCTGTAGTCAACATGAATCCTGATCAGTGAATGAGCCGATCAAGTGTTGGCGCGCGCCTTGTTCTCAAAAGAGACTCAAACATCCTGACTCGTGCTATTCTGTTGAGAAACAAAACTAGTTAATCCGCATGAATTATCAGAGACGCCGTCGCTACACCACGCATCATCGATTCTCCGTGAATAAGGCCGTCGATCCATCTGGGACTAGACTCAATATAGAGACATACCAAAGGGGGCACTACCACAATATGAGACGTGCACACGGAGAATAGCCAGGGTGTTGAAGAGAACCCTGCTTGTAGCATCAGATGCGGTCAACACATCAACAATCAGCTAAAGAAGCTATCAGGGGGGAGTCAGAGGTTGATACGGAGCATGTCAGCTTACATTCCCTCGAGTTCATGAGATTCAGAATGTTAGTGTGTTAGTGTTAGATATTGTCTCATCCCACTCTATCGAGGGAGCTTCTGACATCACTGCCCACCTCCCAGCATGAACGTGCGTTGCGGTCTGGCCGCAGGTCGCAGAGAAGACAGTGCGCCATGTCTTGAAGCCTCGTGCTACTGCTAAGCTTGAGAAACATTACACAGAGACACCATATGGACTTTGCCTCATTACTCCGGAGAGGCTGGCCAGCGTTCTTTACGTGGCTGACCAGACACAACATCAGGCTGTGCATTGCCCTGATACACTTGTATCACCGGCAGTTCCTTGTCTCCTCCATGATTGATATATCTATCTATGTATGCACGCCTAACGCGGGAGATGCCCAGGCTAGATCAAGATCGCTGATAGCCTGAAGTGGACTTCTCGCTCGCCCTGATGCTTTACATACTTGTCGTGCAGAATTTACTAGTCAAGACACTAGGTAGGAACCAAGGCTTGTAAGGCTCCTGATCTTGTTTGCTGTCAATGCAATTGATTACTGGATCGACGATTGACGATTCTCTGTTTTCAGCATTGTGATGTTGTGCCTTCGCCAATGCAAGCCTGGGGTAGCCTTGTCAGTCGAGGAAGCACGTATGGTATGCGTCAACAACTATTGAAAGCCTAATGAGCGAAATATCGACATCAATTGAGCTGTACCCAACACCAACTACATATTCCCATCTAAATTACAGCGACTTTATCAGCCCAGCCAGGCATTGCATGTGGAAGCAACATGCCTAGAAATCAATGGACAATGATGGATGCTCTTCATCGTGATCATCCACATCAGCAAGATATCCGCAAATAAACGACGCACCACGACGTTGAATAAGAACTGGAAAACTGACGAACGATTTGCCGCATTAACTCAGGTTCGCGGGACATACCGTGCATCTTCCGAGAGCATCATAAACCAGAGTCTGCTGAATACCGGTTATCTATTGGCTGTGATGGGCTGAATGGATATGTTTCTGTACTGATCCTGGACGTGTTCGCTGGCAATCACGAGCACACCAGACAGCCAAGCGGATGGGGTGGTTGAGGGGATCGACGGCTTAACTAAACCAGCCAGCCCTTGTAAGAAGACCCTGAGGTGGAGTCCGGGTCTTGGTCTTGAAGGGTTAGTGTTTCGGCGAAGCTGGAGCTGGACTTGCTAGACTTGTCCTCTTGTAAACAGTGAGGCCATGTCCATGGCAAGGGTTGTGAAGCATTCAATGACTCTCGGTCCATTGCCTTTTGATGGTTGGTGAGACGGCTGAAGATGATCCATCTTGGAGTTTTACCGTCAAAATGATCGTCCGATGCCCTGTGGCAGCTTTCTTTGTCTGTCAAACCATTGCGGATTCTCTTCTTCATTCTTTTGGTAAAGGCCGTCAAAATCCCGAGACTCCTCACTCAGACAGTGTAATGCGTGACATGGCTCGGACCGTACAACTCATACCTTGGTACCGGGGGTACAAAGCAAGTCAAACCATCGCACGTGCAGGATTATGGTGCAGCATTCCAAGCCTCGAGACATTCTGAAAGGGCCATGCCGCCATGGTTGTGTTACCATCAGCATGTGGCTTACCGCCGTGTTGCCCATCCTATACAGGTTGAGAATGACCTGCAGACCTCGGCGATGTCTTCAGATTGATTTCGCTTCATCTCGGAGTGGGCGAGCGGCGAGTTCTGCTGTGTTGTCTACATAGGCTATAGTAGAACTGCAACTGCACCACATAGTAGCAGACGGTGGAGTATCGAGATGCACGACGTGCAGGCAAACGGGATAGGTAATAATATGCAGAGAACATGAAGTGAAGGGGATTGGCCAGATGAACATTTCGTGATATGTGCATCCTACTGGTGCTTATCTCGTCATTGCCACGATAAATCCATTTGCTTGCAGTGCATCAATGCAACCACCACCAATGCTGTGCTGTAACGATGCTTTGCTGCAAGGTGAGCTGGTGGGAAG